TGCATTTATAATAAAAACACCTTTGTATGTAAATATGCTGTAGCCAGTTTTAGTTTAACCCCCGATGGTTTGGGTTTGGATTTTAGGCAACAATATGTTCATTTTCTGATTTAAAAAAGGAATTGAATCATGCATTTGCATATTTTAACATATCTCTAATAAGGCCTGAGTGGTTAAATGTAAAATCTGTAGAATGTGACTTTTTTTAAATTGTCAGAATAATCGATAGATTAATTGGTTATTAAAATAGTCGTTTGTTGCAGCCCTGATATATATGCATATTGGTAGTTGGGCTAAACCATTTAATCACAGACATTCCTTGGTACACTTGAAATAAGACAAAATAAACTACAAGTAACTTTTCAGCTTCTTTATGTCAATAATTCTTTAATATAAATAAAAAAATAAGAACTTGTTCCAGTGGCAGATGGTTTCACCTAAAACATGGGAAAATTATCTTGTTACAAGTGAAACAATTTGCCAGTGGAACTAGGACTTTTATTTAATCAATATTAAGCAATTATTGATTTATATATTGCTGAAAAGTAACTTGTAAATTAGTGCAATGTACCAAAAGTACTTGGTAACATTTTGTTTTTGCAGTGTAGCCTGTAGGTTTACCCTCATTAGACACACAGAGCCTCCCAGGTGATAAACCTCTTCATCTGAGATGCAAAACAAACTAATTTTCTCCAAGTCAAGGTGAAGTAACCAGAAAAAGTCTGCAAACGGGGGTTGGGGCTCTGCTGAGCTGCAGGCCTGCTGGCCTCCGGCCCTGGTTGACACTGAGTAAGACAGACAAGTAGGGCTGACTGCTGGGGAGGCTGTGTTAGTCAAGGCCTCTTTCACAGTTTAATTAATAGTGTTTGGACAAGAGGGAGAAGGAGGTGTGGGCCCTAAGCCAGGCTGGGATGAGGCGTGGGGGGAGGGGAGAGCCAGAGCTGAACGAGAGAGCATGTGTTTGGATATTTGTGTCCGTTCGTGTACAAGCCCGTCTATCTTTACGTGCAGGTTTACAGTATATGTGTGGACAGTAGACAAGGCGGCTAGTTCGCCGTGGGGGGTGCGAGAGGGAGGCAGCGGCAGTCGGTGTTAATTTATGCTCTCCTCAGACTCCAGCCCGAGACCTGTCTGTTACAGGAATAACAAACATGACCCGGGGGACACGCCACCTTGACTACCGTGCCTGAACTCTCAAGCTCAATCAGTTGCCGTCTGACAGACCGAGAGCCACTCAATACTGACTATTATATTGCATCTGAGTCTGCCGCTACGCCGCGCAGCCACAGAGGACAACAGTAAGTGGTGTTTGAGACAGCTTTGCTCAACGGTAAAAGCGGCTCGCTGTCGAGCGAGAAGGGGGTCGGCGTGGACAGATCCTGACACTTATGGGGCCGGCGTACAAGCGGCAGTGTTTGGGGATATAAACAGCTTGAGTGTGAGAGATGTTGATCTGCATTTTGTCACAGAGAGAGAAGTATTCAGCAGCGAGGGCTGAGTCATGGAAAGACTCAGGCGGGCGAGGGGGGCTGAGCGGCGAAGACAGAGGGGAGGTGGCATGCCATCTCGGTGTGTGCGGAGCCTCAAGTACTTGTCATGCCTCAGATTGTAAAGTGTCTGTCAAGGTGAAACGAAACACAGCGATTAGTGAAAACGTGTTGCACCTGCGAAGCTGAGCTGTTTTCTTAGGGAAAAGGACGGAGAGTTTGACTGAAACTGCAGCTCTGCTCCACTGACAGCCGCTCGGGTTGGAGGCCTCCATGAATGCAGCGGTTTCTGCTTCATCTGCTTAACTTTTACTTTTTAAACCAGGTTCCTTCACAGCGAAAACACAAAATATTACCAAATATTTTTGGTCTAGTTTCTAGAGCAAATAGTGTCCATGAAATCAGACAAAAATAACTTTTCAGTAACATACAGGATCTTATTTTAAGACATAAATATTTATAAAAAGTTCTAGTTCCACTGGCAGATTCTTTCATTTGTAACACGAGAAAAATGACGTTTTTTATCGATATTCAAGAAATACTGACTTGAAACAAGCTGCAGTGTCTTGCTGAAAAGTTTCTTTTGCCTGATGATTTTTTTGTTACTTATATGAATTATTGTCATTTTGGTCCATTTAATTATGTAATATTTAAATATAAAATGATTGATAATTTGATCAATTACTCAGTACTTCAGTAGACTTTTTACCAAAAACTGTATTTACTACAATTTCTGGCTACTCTATCCAGCTCTGGTTTTTCCATACTGTAAAACATAATGTTAAGAAAAGTGTTAACGGGATAAATTTAAAAGATTTTTGAAGATGAACTTAAACAACATAAACATTTCCAGTAATGAGAAATGTAATGATCTCCTCAGGTAGACTGTCATCGTGATGCTGTGAGGATGCGGTCAGAATAAATCACCATGGCAGCTGCAGTGGCGATGAGCTTCTTTAATCTGACCCAGCAGCTGGTCCAGCGCCTCCTTCTGGCCTCTCTGGCGTGGAGGGTGGCCGTCGACGTCCCTCCAGCCTGCAGAAGGACCACAAAGCGCCTCAGAAATCAAGAGCATTGCACCTTTTTAGTCAGTTCCCATGTTTTCATCCAGTTGCTCTGCAAAGTTTGAGCAAACTACTAAAGACGACCTATGATGCTTCCTTTAAAAGGTTAGTACAGATCTACTGGCTATATGAAACATGTTCGTTACATTTTTTTGTACAAGATAATTCATAGATTATGAGATTTCAGAATGAGCCATTTTAGGCATCCTGTCCCTTTAAATCCAAATAAGCTGCTGCTGGCCACGCCCCCCAACTCAACATTTACAGTCGCATGTGAAAACGGCTGCAAATAGATGCACAATTAAAAATTGTACATTATTGAAAAGCAGAAGTGGAGCCTCCTGCACAACCAGCAAGAATGCAGCAAGTGGTTTCTGGATGGTAAGTCAACAATAAACAATCTGCCTTTTCCAGCAGCCATTGTACCGTGCATACAGCGGTCAAACCAGCTGGCTAGATGTTCTGCAGCTCTGCCCTAATTGGGGTTGCTAGGTAACAGGGCTGTGGTTGCTTGGTGTGAATGACGTGACATTTCAGAGGTTTTTGAAAGGGCTCATTTTCCAGACACCAAAAAACATGAACATTTAGTCCAAATAGCGTCTGGCTGTTTTTTTGTGGGGTTGTTTTTAGAAGCAGCAGAAACCCAAATGGAAATACAAAAACATTCAAAATGTGATTTTTGCATCATGGATCTCCTTTAACCAAATGATCCAAACACACCGAAAGAATCATCGTCCTATAAAAACAATCCCAATCTCTCTTGTTATACAAGCATGGCTATTCAGAAAAAAAAGACTCTCCAGCACATTTTGTGTGAGTACAGGAGGATGAGTCAGCGATAACCAACCATCACCCTCATCCTGAACCCCACCTTCCTCCTGAGCCCCCCGGAGGCTGCAAGGGGCCGAAACACGGTCCGCTCTATTCCCGGAAAGGTGCCTGTCCCCACAAGACAAGCGGGCCCTTTAATGGGCGTCTACGGCCCGGCATAAGGCCCCAACTGTTGGGGCCGTGCCGCTCGCTGCAGCACAGACATGCAAATATTTCCAGTGGTAGGCCCAAATGGAAAACACAAACACGCAACATCTAAATTAGCTCGGAGAGAGGGACGGAGGGAGGTGGGTGAGAGGGAAAGCCTAGTTTCTCTAAACCGACACCACATACACACACGGGCTGAGAAACAGTGTGTGCTGATGAGCACAAACATGTTCATGTGTTCCCCAGATGTGCCAGGAGAGAAGCAGTAGAACCGCAGAGACAGTGTGTTTGGCTTGTTCTCTGTTCCAGTGGGAATGTAACAACTGGAGAAACTTCAAGAGCAGAAATGACCAGGACAGAAACAGAGGTTTGACTTCAGCAACACATTTCTTTTTCAACGAATACACACTGTGACATCACAAGACTAACTGTCCATCAAACACTGTAAAAACTGAGAAGAAAACTCTGTCATGCTATTCATCATTAAAAAACAGAAACTCATCAAAGTGAACATTGTGCCAACTTTTTCCACTGCAACATTTTTGATCATTTCTTCCACTGATATAAATGGAAACTTTTGCTTGAACTATAAAAATAATGTAAAAAGTTTCACTTAGCAGCTTCTTTTTTGCAGCAAACAGAAAGGCGTCTTGACACCAATGAACTCCACGTTTTCTAAAACGTAAAGGAAAGAAAGACGAGGAGAGGAGAGCGTGGAGTGGTGAACACCTCAGCTGTTACACATGAGCTCTGGATGCTGTGTAGGCCCGGCACACTGAAACCACGGCAACGCTCACTGGCATTTACAACGCGACTCTAAACGCCCGCCTTACATCCTGACTGGATGCATGGCAGAGGAAACGACCTGGGAGTTTCTGACGGAGTGGTGCTCCTTCAAACTTAATGAGAAATATGGGAAATAAACATACAAACATGTTATAATGATAATATGACCACTTAAAGGAGATCTATTATGATTTCTTGAACAGGTTGGAATAGGCCTATAGACAATACTCAGCAATATATGTGTTGCACAAAATCATTCTCAGATGATGAGATTTTATTCTGCTCAGTTCTGCCCTTTTTGAGTTGTTTTATGGCATCTGGTCACTTTAAATCCAAATAAGCTGCTGCTGGCCATGCCCCCCAATTCAACATTGACACTCACATGTGAAAACAGCTGCACAATTACTGAACTGTGCATCTTTGAAAAGTATTAGTCGAGCCTCCTGCACAACCAGCAAGAATGCAGCAAGTGGTTTCTGGATGGTAACATCAAAACACTGTCTTTCCCAGCAGCCATTGCCTGCAGCGGGAAAACCAGCTCACCAAACATGCTGGAGTTCCGCTGGGGTTGCTAGGTAACCAGTGGAGTTCCGCTGGGGTTGCTAGGTAACCAGTGGAGTTCCGCTGGGGTTGCTAGGCGACGTTGCAATGGCAGCCGAATGTCACTTAGCAATCGGGAGTTTTTGATTCGGCTTGTTTTCCAGACACCAAAAAACATGAACTTATTGCTCAAAAACTGAAATGTGATTTTTTTTAGGCTGTTTTTCGACGCAGTAGAAACCCAGATGGAAGCATCAAAAGGGTGAATTTTGCATAACTGGTCCCCTTTACACTAATGGTAAGTTTAACTTTTGTTTACTGCGAATTGGAAAATTGTTACATTTGACTTAATGGTTGTATCAGAGTTAAATTAAAAGATTTATTTTGTAAAGGTGCAAAGTGTAATCTTCATACCTTGGTCGTTGTGTTACCATAGTTACAATCTGATGACCTGAGTTTGATCTGTTCTCACATAGTTCCCAGCAAATAATAACCACTTAGCAGTGATTCCTTAAAGCTCGGCCAGCTGAGCCTCGTGTCCAAGAGAGAAGATGAGAACATCATCCCAGTCTGCGCCTCCGTCAGCGTTTCGTCTTCATGAATAGAAACTAAGCCAGACTCACTGGACGGTGCAGCGCAGGCCGGGGTGGAAACCTTCGGCGGGCTCCAGCCCTTCATGTTGTAGGCCGACACCTGAACGTAGTAATGGGTTCCCTACAAACGGCAGCAGAAACCACAATTAGGCACAATTTACTCATTTATAGACACACTTTACAATTATTATTACAATTATTTATTTATTTTGAATAGACAAAAAATAAAAACAAGAAAAAATAAAACAAATTACGTAATTTCACTTGATTTGTTCGGAAAGGAGATACAAGATGTTCCTTTAAACTCTTAACCTCACATCCTCATCCTTAAATTATTTATACATTTTAACAGCAGCAGCATTTTTGGTCCATTTTTCCCAATAAGCTCCTTTTTAAACACTTTTTAACCTGGTTTAATTTTATTTGATCCGTTCCATAAATCGACACATTGACATGCAAAAACTCTTTTTGATTGTTTTTTAAAGGTTGTTAAAACCCTCCTTCTCTGTCACAACATTTTTTAAATATTGTGTGGAAGTTGATGGTTTCTTACATTAAATATAAATTTCACAGTTTTAAATTTTCCAGAATTTGAGAACATTTTATTTATAAAATAACTGTATTACCATTATCTCACTTTATAGAGTATTCTAATTTATTTATTGATTTTGGTTTGGTTTTGTATTTGTTGCCCCAAACGTCCACACGATAAGTCAGATGTTGTACAACAGGAGATTTATACAAAATAAATAAAGATTTGTAGACCTTATTCCAAACAGAGCAACACTTTTGACTAGTTTTGATTTTATTCTGTGGTTTCCATCCAACATGGCGCCTGAAAATCTGATGACTCGTTTTAAATCCAAAGAAACCAACATGAAGTTAACAGATTATTTTAGGTGAATGTAAATCTCCAGGATCGGTTTGGTTTCTCTTTTCTCAGCCCCATCGGTGAGATCCACTGACCCCACCTTGACCCCTGTCATGTGACAGGAAAGCCCTTTGGTTGGGACCTTAAATGGGGGCGGTTTTCCTCACATCATGACGAATAAAAATGAGCGTCTACTTGTGTGTTTGCTTCAAAACAGCAAACATAAATCAGTCAGGAAAGATAAAACCCGAACAGATTTAAACGACCGCAGATCTATTGCAGAGGAATCTAGAAACATATCTTGAATAAAAAACTAAATGCTTTCCAGGTTCAAGCTGGTGTGTATGTATTAGTAAAGGCTGACTTGTGGGAAAATAGCTTGTAAATTTCCTGACTGGTGAGACAACAGGTGGAGAAACAACAACACAGTTGGTTTCAGTAAACCTGCCATGAATAAACTACAAAATAAAGAGCGACTGCAGATATTTCAGCTGGTGGTGAAAGAAAACTGCAACTGCTTCAGTTTCTCATGGTTTACCAGACTGAATATGTCTGTCTACTGACTCTCTTCAGATAAATTCATGTTTTCCTGCAGTACATTAATCCTCCACACTGAAAAATAGTAAAAGCTATTTGCTACATCGCTGACTGTTTGCTGGTTTGCATGTCAGGAAAAAGTCCTAATGACATGGAAGCACTTAATGATCAATGTTAAGTACGGTGGGGGATCCATCATCCTGTGGGCCTGTTGGGAATCAGGAACTCGTTGATTTAACTGATTTCATTGGTTTCGGCCAAGAAAATCAAAATCCAGCAGGATGGCTTCCCTTTGCTGCTAAAGCTTCATTCATTTCTGTTTTACCAATCAGGACGCTTGATTTTCTTTCTGGAGAAACTTTTTGTTAAACCTGTTCCCCTCCTCGCCTGTGGGGGCGCTGCACCAAGAACCGCTGAAATAAACAACATGAAAACCTCTGAAGACACTGAGCGCAACTTCCTGTTCCTCAAAATGCAAAGAAAAATGGAGGGACGTCAGATTTTAGTGGTTGCAAGATTTCTTTTTTTTTCTTTAGGTAAAAAACCAAGAGCCATTTCTCCTGCTAGCGCTAGTTAGCGTATTTGTTCACTTCCTGCTTCTGGAGCAGTCTCTGGTCCGCTTGGTGTTCACATACGAATTCAATCCACACCAGAGTTCACTTTATTGGTGCGTATCAGAGTTTATTACACTTTCACATCTTCCCAAGCAAAACAGACCAAATCCACAGAATTAAGAAACCTAAATAAAGATTTTTCTCCTCTGAGATTTTGCTGCTGCAGTCGGAGATTACATTTTTAGTTTTTTTTTGCACATTCTCACCGGTGTTGACAATAATTTTAAGAGGAAATTTGATCCAAATTAAAAAGAAAAACAGTTTTTTAGGTGTGAGTTTTTAAATCTGTCCCTGTAATTCAGGTGCTAGAAGAACTCACAGAAGTCAGTCCAGTGATGTTGCACTGTGGTTCCGCTGCATCGTTCACCATCATTTCACCCAGCATGGGGCTGAATGAAGGCGCCGCGCTCCAGCACACTTTAAATTCACAGCAGGTTCCAGCAGATGTTAGAAGAAACATTTAAACGTTGAACAGTTTTCAGTCGATAAACTGAACCAAAGCTTCAGATGATGCTGACCTTTGTACTTGGTGACCACAGCAGAGTTGACACAGGCAGGTTCATGAAAGTCGACCTGTAAACTGGTGTTGCTGCTAACAGACAGACGGACGACGCTGGGAGCATCTGGAGGGTCTGAAGAGGCAGGAAGCAGAACAGAGGAGTAAACTCAGAGAAAAGCCTTTAATTCAGACAAAACTGTGACAGAGTGGAGGCTGAGACCGGGCAGCAGTGGTGGGCAATGCTAACTAAAAGCTAGCTGTGCTAATACTAAAGCATTACAAACATTAGTTTTGCTAACGCTAAAGAGTAAGTCCGACATTATAGGGCACTAATGTGCTGCAAAATCACTGTATTTAGTGAAAATTAGCGATGAAGTGCTAAACCAACACAGTAATTAGTGAAAGCTAACGGTAAAGAGCTAATTTCAGTCATGTTCACATCGCATCATGAGTGGAAACCAACAAAAAGGCTCTCTAAACAATTCACATGTTCATTTCTACATGCTTTGTTAATGTTTCCTGTAAACCTCATTTGTTATGTACTCAGCAAATGCTTAAAGTAAAAAAGAAAAACTGTGAGAAGAAATTAAACTCCTGCGCTAACAGATAAGAACATGAGAACAAGTCTAACTACTTAAAGTCAACTGAAAATCACAAAACTTCATATTAGCGCTTTTAGCATTTAAGCTAAGTGAGGCAAATGAAACATTTGTGACATTATTTTCAGTGTGTTGGCAGAAGTTTGCCTGAAGTTGTGATTTTTACATTATTTACCAACCAAATTCATCACAAAAGGCAGGATGATGAAAGTCAGGGAGAGTCAAAACATAATTTATCTCCGAGGAATCGCCCTCAACTCGCAATCACATGGTCTGCTTCAGTTTCTCAGGGTGGAAGTCATTACCTCCCACCGGCAGCCGGCCAGCAGAGGAAACATGCTGGACAAAATGATGAAAACTAAAAATAACCGCTGCAGGAGCAGCATCAAATCCTTACTAGCATGCTCAAAGCCCGTCTGCATGCGTCTGAAGAGCTGCAGCCTCCACTCCCAGGCCTTCAGCTGCCTCTCCTGGTCCGACCCCTCCCTTTCGCTGGGCCCCTCACTGCGGACCTGGGCCTGCAGCTCCGACACCCGCTGCTCGGCCTCCTGCACCAGGGTGGCCAGGTGCACCGCCCGGCCTTCCAGGCTGACAACTGACACACAGAGAGAGTAACAGCCACCGCACACATCCAAAACTTCTTTATTCATTCAAAGTGAGCAGGTTTTACACAACATACGGCCCCCCTGCATGTTACTGTTCACATTTCATGCATGCGCACAACGCTAGACGGCAAAAAGACGATTCCTTTACATTTACTTAAAACAAACTCCTTTATGTTTCTGAAAAGTTAGTTTGATTTTATTTCAGGTGTATTAAGATTTTAGCACTTGACACTAGAATAAAAATACTTGTTAACACTTGGCGTGTTTTTGCAGTGCGTCTCTATCTCGACAGTAATTTTTTTATGTGTGGTCAGTCCCAAAGATTTGCATTGCATTTTGATTTCCATATTTTTCCTATCAAGCAGGAATATTTCTGCCATAGTGGCATTTCTGAGCTGGTTTTTCCACCCAGATCCTCTCCACTGTAGTGCTTGTTGCCCGTTTTGATTTGGTCTCTTTTTCACCTTGCATTGATATGAAAAGTTTAATTTCTTTCAAACGGATCCAAAAACCTCAGCTTCACAGCAAATTTGTCACAGAAATAAAAATATATGTATAACTTTGCGGTTCATTACATTCTCAGTCAAATTTATTCTTAGCTCCCACTTTGAAATATGCACCAAAAAAAGACACAAAGGAAAGCCGCCTCGCTGCAAACCGCTTTAGCAGGCCACTTCTGTTTAATTCCTGTTTGCCAAAATGCTGCGGCAGATTCTCCAATAAAGTTCATTTATTGTGACTGAGCTGCCTCTCTGGGGATGACATCAGCTAGAAAATAAGGGAAAATGGGGCAATGAAAGTGCGAGCGGGTGAGAGAGGGAGGCGTGTCCCTTGGTGCGGTTCCAGGCGGTGGGAATATGCACCAGGGAGCATCAGCTCAGATGGCTGCTGAAAAACTTTTTGGTTTTTTTTTTTGCAAAAATTATGGAAATTTCTGTGTCACCGTTCTATTTATATAATGGAACACAGCCTAACAGAGACAGCAGAGGAATGTTTTCTTAGAGAGGTTTAGGGTGTTGCCACAATCCGGCGAACAATGAAACCCATCACTGCAGTTAATGAGATGTAACACCCCATGAAAATACTCAAACCATGGCTGTGCAGTCGGCGATCGAGGCTGCGGAGGCAGGAGACCCAGATCAGAGACGTTTGCACGCTCCTCTAGCAAAAGCATGCAGATTATTTCAAATAAAAGTCTGAAAACGGTTAATATAAAGACAGGAAGAAGACGGTAGCGAGCTGAACTCCTTTGGTGGCTGCTCGTTTCTTGGAGTGTTTGGGACGGCTGCGGGTCTGTGTTTAGTCTGTGTGGTCTGCGTTTGTTCATTCCACCGCTGAGCGTTAGATTCCACTGTTGACAGTAAGTTTGGAGCTGCGTGTCAAAATGTCCATCTGGGTGTTTAATCCCTCCGTGTCTCCTCTGAGAGCCTCAGAGACACCGACTGCAACGCACTTCATCAGGACTAACATCACCGCTAAAACATGCAGGCTTACCAAGTGTTTCTGGTCTAGTTTCCCAGTTCACTTGAAATAAGACAAAACTAACTAACTTACAACTAACCTTTCAGAAAGAAATGGGAGCAAATTTTAAGTTAATCATTTCTTAATATGGATGGAAAAGTTCTAGTTCTGTTGGCAGATTATTTCATTTACAAAATGGGAAAAATGTTTTGTTACAAGCGAAATAATCTGAGTGGAACTAGACCTCGGTTGCTAGGCAACAGCTGTGCTTGGCTGGGGTTGCTAGGTAACGGTTCTGGGCTCTGCTTGCGTTGCTAGGTGATTTGTGACGTTACATTCAGAAGGTTTTTGAAACGGCTCATTTTCTAGACACCAAAAAACTTATTGCCAAAAAACCTTCTGGTGTTGCTCCTCTTGTTTTAGGAGCATCTTACGACCCGGCCCGACCCGACCCGACCCGGCCCGACCCGACTGGACCAACTAAAACATGCAACATGTGATTTTTGTGCAATCAGTCCTCTTCTAAGAGAACAGAGGAGAGGTTGGCAAATCCTAATGCAGAGTCTCTCCTTTCTCTCTGTTAGCCGCTGATGTGCAAACACACACACACACAGTCTCATGAATGATTTGGGTTCTGGATGGAAAAGCCCAATCAAAGACCAAAACTTCACTGATCACCACTTTCCATTCAAGTGTTTTCAATTTAATGATACCTTTATAAGACGTCTGGCTCAGATCGTGAAAGTGTGTGTGTGTGTGTGTGTGTGTGTGTGTGTGAGCATGAACGGGTAAAAACACAAACAGCCTTGGAGCCTCACTGGCGAGTTCTAATCATTAACAGAGGAAGGAGCAGAGGCTCCCAGATCACAGAAAGTGAAAAGTGCTGACAAAGATTCACTAATATTTCATCACAATCTGAACCTTTTCACATGTTTCACTGCAAGAGAAAGAAATGAGCGCCTGTTAGTGAAGACGGGAAAAACTGGAGTACATTTAGACCCCAAACTATGAAAACCCCCAGCAGATGCAGATTTTATATCATTTTTATTCAAGAAGGAAACGAGACAAAACTTTAATTTTTAAAGTCTTTGACTAGACCACTTCAAAACATTATCAACTTAGCGTCAGAAACAGCATATTGGTAAATCTGAGTTTCCAATGACATTATATTTGTGCAAAGTGGGATAACAAACATTAATTTGCTTCATGGAAATGCACTAATTTTGTAAAAACTCAATTTTTTTAAAATAAAATGATTTTGCCCTAAGATGAGGTGAGATCAAAGTTAGTGTATTTCACAAAACTGCCATGGAAACGCTTCTCTTCTTTCACATCACACGAGTCATGTGATCGACAACCGGATGTTACTACTGGTGGAAAAACAAAGAAGACGACAGGAAGTGGAAGGAGGAGGATGGTGCAGCGAGTTTTTAATGACTTATGACCCATTTTCATTTGGGCCGAAACAAGATCATCAAAGCTCTTAAAGGGCCGGTTGTGGAAAAATGTTCTGATAAAATCCATTAGGAAGCTGTTAAAATATTAATAAATATCTGGGTATTCGATAAGTTCTCCAAGTATTACAGAACATCCAGGTTTTCATGATTATTTTTCAGATTTTCTTTGCAATCAAAATAACCGACTCTGTTGTGTTGATTTAGAAATATTGGCAAGAAATTTGCAATATTTGCACTTATCTGTGAAAATGTGACTTTTTGCTACCTGCCGCATTGACTACAGACTATAATCTGAAATCCAGTGAGGCTGAGGCAGCAGTGGAGTAAAAGTAAGAAATACTGCCCCCTGCAGGTGGGAGTTAGTATCAGTTAAGCTCAATGTTTTTGACCAGTTTTGCAAAATAATAAAATTATATATTAAAATTTTATAACTAGCATGTGAAACTGCTGCTGCTATCAGTAGATTTTATGTGAACTGACTGATGAAATTTGGCGTCTGGAGCCACATAAAAAGCCGAGGCGGGCCAGATTTGGCCCTCGGGCCTCGAGTTTGACACGTGACTTATCGCATGAACAAACTTTTTCACGTGTGATTTTTTATTTGCGTTTCTTGTTCAATGGAAATACCGGCATTGGGAACGAGTATTTTTTTGGAGAAGAAACGTCGCCAGCTGTGTTGGAAATGCGGCTGCAGTTGGTACCGACTCACAGTGAGGGCTCTCCTTGGCTCCGGCCCGCAGCAGAAGCTTCGCCATCGGCACGTTGTTGGTCATGATGGCGATGTCGAGAGGAAGGAGGCCTTCGCTGTTTGGCGTGTTGAGGTCCAGCTCCTCCAGGCTGTACTGGGCCAGAAGCAGCTGGACCAGGTCCAGCTCCTGGTGCTCCACCGCCTCAAACAGAGCTTCGTTGCTCTGGAACTGACACACAGACGAAGGATGATGGACTTTCAATGGAAATCCTAACAGAACTTTGCATTAAAAGTGACATTATTTACCAAATGACATTTCATGAAAATATTAAGCTTCATAAAGACTCCTTCATGTTCGTGACAGGTGTGACGTCAGCCGTATGCACACCTTCAAATAGTGTTACCGTATAAATAGATACATAGATATATATCATAGAAAAGAAAAAAGCTCAAAAAGTTAGATGAAGGTGTATTAAACGAGGCTCGACTTCTGCCGGTGGATCTAGAACTTTTTAAAAATCTTTAATCATGAATTATTGGCTTAAAACAAACATATACACTGCAAAAAAACAAAGTCTTACTAAGAAATGTTGGTTTAGTTTCAACTGCAAATATCTTAGTTCACTTGAAATTAGACAAAAATAACTTATCAGCAAGACAAATAAATAAAACTGGTTTTAGGTAAATAATTTCTTCATATTAATGAAAATGTTCTGGTTCCATTATCTGATAAATTCACTGACAAAATATTTTCCCCATAAGAGAAATAATTACTTACACAATATTCATTTAAAACAAGCCCCTGTATCCTAGTGAAAAGTTACTTTAAAGTTGGTTTTGTTGCATTTGAAGAGCTCGTTTTAAATGAATGATTTGTAAATACTAATAAAAACGACGTTCTAGTTTCACTGGCTGATGATGTGACAGAAAATGGCAAAATGTCTCATTTTAAGTGAAATAATCTTAGAACTTTTTCATCAATATTAAGGAATTATTGGCTTAAAACAAACTCATATTTTGTTGAAAAGTTACTTGTAAAGTCAGGTTAGTTTTACTTCAAGTTTACTCAGATAATTAATTGCACCAGAACCAGGTTTTGTGTTTTTGCAGTGTGATTTTCTCTCCATGACAGGTGGCTCTAAAGCTTTTCCAGACAACGATCCTCCTGCTCCCATCCTGGACTTACGACGGTGGTTTTGCGCAGCCTCTCCTTGTCTCCTCCCCGCGCTGACACCACGCTGTCCTCCAGCGCGGGGGGGTTGGTGCCCACGCGAAACTTTCCAGACAAGTTGCGGTAGAGCCGGCGAGCTGCGCTTGGCGAGGACAGGCTGGCGGACTTGCGAGCCGCTGCCGGCTGGTGGACCTGGTCCCCTCGCATGGGCTGCGTCATCTTGGCAGAGTCGGCCCTGGAGGAAAGATCACGGAGTGAGAAACACTAGAGATGGGTGAAAGGAGTCGCATCTGGTCCCCCTGCACTGTGGCACTACAGAGGGAAAGTCCTTTTTATGCCGCTTTTTATTTTCCTGTGTAGAATAGACAGAGCGTTGCTTCTGGGAAAGAAGCCAACTTAAAAAAACGCAGCTCTGCTTCTCTGCATTCAAACCAACAGAGGGATGAAAATGACATTAAGATATTAAAACAAACATTTTGAACAGGATCTAAAAGATGCATTACTGCAGTATCACTCGTTATCTGGGTTCCAGCAGAAAGGCCCAAACAGTTTTTAGTTATTTGTTTATTTACACTGTAAAAATACAAAATCTTACTATGTCTGGTCTCGTTTCTAGAGCAAATATCAATACAAGTAACTTTTCAGATATAGGAGCTTGTTTTAAATCAATAACTCCTTAATATTGGTGAAAAAACAACTGGCGCTGTTACCTAGCAACCCCAGCCAAGCCCAGCCCGTTACCTAGCAACCCCAGCGAAGCCCAGCCCGTTACCTAGCAACCCAGTTTTAGTTCCACTGTCAGATTGTTTGACTTATAACAAGACATTTTGACATGTTATATGTGATATAATCTGGCACTGGAACTAGTACATTTCTAAATCAATATTTACAATTTATTGATTTAAAACAAGCTCCTATATCCTGCTGAAATGTTACTTTTAAGTTAGTTTGGTTTTATTTGAAGTGCCCTGGAAACTAGATGCAAAAATCTTGGTAGGGTTTTTTTCCATGGGACATAAAGACACAAATTTAGTTTCCCAGAAGGAAACGGCTAAACATAAAGTTCTGAGTCAACAGAACTTGAATGGGGGGGAAAAATGGCTGAATGCAAAATGTACCACACATGTTATGAATTTATATCCAAGCATTGGTAACGTCTGCAAGACAGTTCAATATTACTTCAACACATGCATTTCATAGTGGGAAAATCATCCCGCCCCGTCATGAAGGACACAGCATCACTTTGACTGCTCAGATATACGTAACCATGTTCCACAGAGCTGACGGTCTCCAGAGAGGGACGGGGCACAGAACAAAGAGTAAAACTGCCACCAGTGAGAAATACCCATGATGCTTCAGTGATAAGTGACTCTGATTTGTCAGATTTCCATGATCAGCTCCAGTTGTCGTATCGGTCATCCTAAACAAGTCATGAGTTTGCTCTGTAAGATGATTTTTCCCCTGTGAAACAATCACATCCACGTCTTTGCAGCAGATTCCTGGCACCGCTGCTTTGCGCCGTTCTCCAACCTGCTATGGGAACTATGTAGATGACAAGTGTTTCTTGGGCGAGTCTGGCCTGAAGTGCTCAGACGCGTTGGACTGATGAAGGAGATGTCAGCGGGACTCCACAGGCGACGGTGACAGACTCCGTGTTGGGTCTCACCAAAGAGAACCATTGAGATAAATGAATTCCTCAAGGAGGCGTTTTCAGCACCTTCCAGTCCAGTTCGTCTGGCTCTTCACACCATCTGAACTCGTTTCTCCCTCTAATTTTACCTACCGCTAAAATATAGAACAGCACTTCATGTTTATGGAAATCCACATAAAGAACATAAACACACCTTACTCTTGTGGACATTCTTGAAAATACATTTTCTGTGTACATTAAAGGGGACCTATTATGCAAAATGAACATTTTGAATATTTTTGTATTTCCATTTGGGTTCCTACTGCTCCCAAAAACAGATCAAGAGCTTCTATAAATCACTCAGCCGTTTTTTGGCAGTAAGTTCAGGTTTTTTGGTGTCTGGAAAATGAGTTGCTTCAAAAACCTGTCCGTTACCTAGCAACCCAAGCAGCACTCCGGCGTGTTTGTCCAGCTGGTTTACTGCTATATGCGGTGTACAATGGCTGCTGGAAAAGACAAAGTGCTTTGTTGTTGACTTATTATTTAGAAAGGACTTGCTGCATTCTCGTTGGTTGTGCAGAAGGCTCCACTTCTGCTTTTCAAAGATGTATGGTTGTATAATTATGCATCCTTCTGCAGCCATTTTTATGTGAGTGTAACCGTTGAGTTGAGAGACGTGGTCAGCAGCAGGTTATTTCGATTTAAAGCGACAGGAAGCCCTAAAACAGGTCAACATAGGCCGAGCTGAGCAGACTGAAATCTCATCTTCTAAGAATGATTTGCACAAAAGATGTAACAAAGATGTTCTGTATCTCCCATAGACCTATCCTAACATGTTCAAGAAAGAACAATAAATCACCTTTAACATATCAGCTTGCAGAATCTTATTTGATTATTCTCAAATTTAAACACATAGTTTTCCCGTTTTTTTCTAAACAAGTGACATGCTCAGTTACTCAATCAGCCCAACATCGGTTCTCGACATCGCAGCTCTTTGAACATGAGCAGGCGGAGGTCGAAGCACGTAAATAAAGGCATTAGTTTGGGCCGTCATGCCACATGCCACAAGCAGATTTGTCAAGGTGAGAACATCTGTAGGAAAAATGTTATTTATACCGCCACTCAGCAACGGACGTATGAGACCACATAAGAGTCGTCTGCGCTCAAACCCTCCCCCATCACATGAAGTTTGTGCAACAGCTGACATCGGCCTACATTGTAGACTTTAAAGCCCCCGCAACAAGCCCTTTTTCACAGGGGCGGATACACCTAAAATACCCCCACAATCCCCGTCCCTTCCCGCTCCGTCCCATCCATCTCCACTCCATCCCGTAATAGAGGCCTTATTTTAGACATCCTCGTGTTCCCGGCTGGGCCTAACCTATTCCAGGGTTCCAGATAAAGCGCGGCAGGTATTTGGAATAATTTTTCCATGGGCCTGGCCCGGAAGATAAAACAGGAGATATATTTGTAATGTGTGTGCCGGTATCCCATTTCAAAGAGAAAGCCCAGTGGAATGCAGCCCTGGGCTTATTGTTATATGCCTGAGATGGAACAGACGCACGACGGTGCCCCATCGCTCTCTGACGACATTAGGCTGTGTGTAACGTGGAGTGTGTGCATCTGCGATTTCAAAGAGATGTTATATCGCACACGTGAGGGCGGCGTATCGTTTACCAAAAGACATGCCGCTCAGAAATGGAGAAATATAGACTAGTTACAATAATAAACCCCTGCCACAGTAAAAAAAAGAAGATACTTAGTTATAACAGATTATTACAACAGTGTTGAAAAAAACATTTAAGTGTTTTTGCTTTAAAAAAATGTACCAAGAGTTTTTGGTCTAATCCTAGTGCAAATATCTTAGTGCACTTAAAATGTAAATCTTTTCAGCCAGATTTATATCCATACTAAATCAATAAGGGTTCAATGATCTTTATTATCCTGCCAGCTCACATTTGCATGTTTATACAAATGGTCCACTTGTTTATGGTATGAAATTTGGACTCAGCTAAAATTTTAAGAAGCAAAATTAATAAATATTTTTTATAAATAAGAGCATGTACAAATATAAGGTATACAAATAAACATTTCAGCAAGATATAGGAGCTTGTTTTGAGTCAATAACTCCTGAATATTGGTGAAAAGGTTCTAGTTCCACTGGTGCCGTTACCTAGCAACCCCAGCCAAGCCCAGCCCGTCGCCTAGCAACGCCAGCCAAGCCCAGCCCGTCGCCTAGCAACGCCAGCCAAGCCCAGCCCGTCGCCTAGCAACCAGTTCTAGTTCCACTGGCAGATTATTTCACTTGTAACGAGACATTTTTCCCATGTTGATAGTGAAATAACCTGAAAAAAATAAGTCAAAATCAGTAAAACTCCAACTGGAGTTTCACTTTAAAGCAGCCATAGGCGTTGTCATGACGACTGTGACTCAAGCCTGTCGCAATGAGCAATAAATCAATTCATCTGTGATTTTCTTTCTACCAAAGCCTGGATGACACATGGCTTTTTAGTGCGGTGTGAATGTTGACGTCTTTGTTTGCAAAGACGTCAACATTCATTTTATTTATTGTTTTAGTTTAATATCTTCATGTTAAAGGTTCGTTAAAAATTTATGCTTAGTAAATTTTGAGAGAGTGTACTTGCAATATGATGCCATTACCAACATATTACTTTAAAATGGTCTCAAAACAATATTATAGTTTATCGCAATAACTTCTGGGATGATTTATTATCCAGCAACATTTATTGTGACAGGCCTAATGTGAGATGATATTTCATACAGCTGTGGCATCAATTAACCTCATGCTATGCTATGCAGTTGCTTTGTCTGCAGCGATGAAGATTCACCTGCATTACAGGATGAAAGCTTAAAGTGGCTCCAACTGCAGGGCAGTCTGACCTATTTTCTGATTAAGTCAGTTAGCAATTGTTTAACCAGGAAGCGCTGAACTTTAACCCCAAGATGGTCAGATGGTCAGTGGGTAAGAAGAGAAAAGAGACTACAGTTGAAAAGACTACAGTGGAGGACTGCAGATTAAACAGCCTTTAACCTAAAAATAGAAAATGGCGGTGCATTTAAAAGCTACACATAATTTATAGACATGACTCTGTTTGATGTTTCACAAAAATGTGCTCCCCTTCTTTACGTTTAGATCCACGTCAAACACGTTTTTCAGATAAACCAACATCTGTGGTTTCAGTCATCTTCAACAAATTAAAGTATGGGTCCCCGGGAGGCTCATTTTTCAGATTAAAACTACCTTTTGCAGGGATTAGTCAGATTTTTTAAGTGCATATTTGTGAATTAAAACATATTTTATTGGTCTGATGTAGTGATTCAACCTTAAATGTGTTTATTATTATCTGTAAGCGGAAATTGACAGAAATAAAGATTTGAAAGCATCAGTCTGTGTGTAACTGAGTGATGGAGAAACTCAACTTTTAAATAATTTTCATATTTAGTCAATATGATGGTGAACTGGAAAAAACCCTAAAGCGACAGCAGCTTTAGGGTTTTATACTGAAACCAGAGATGGAAATCTCAAACTGAAGCAATCACCCAAACATCTTAAACTGAAATTTACTGCACACACACACACACAC